TTATCCAAATACACACTTACAGCCAATTCTTATGAATTAAACTAAAATTTATTGAAAAAGAAAAGAGAGAATTGGTTAAAAGATCAATATATATACAGACATGAGTACAATTCTTGAGATTCAGATTCAGAGCAGAGATGGTGAGCTCTGTAGTTGCGAAAAGTTCTTTCATAATTAATCCATGGGTTATACACCAATTTTGATATTCAAGCTTAGAACTGGGATCTCAGCCTTACGACTTAAGCTTCGCCTGCATGAAGCATCAAGCAGGTTTGAGATGACAGGATCAGGACCCAAGGTCTTTTATACAGTTTTCTAGCAGCCACTTGACATACAGTCCTGGGTGAACAATAGGCTTTTGATGTAACCTTCTGTTTCCTAAACCTCACTGGTAATTAGCTATATGGATTAATATAAGATAATTTATCCATTAGGCAGTTTATCACAAACTTTAAAGAGACATATAGACAATGACATTATTGCACCCAAGATTCATCTAAATGTTAATATTCCCTTTTGATCTCTGAATGAATAGCTATAGTGACAGACAGGAACTGTCTGTTTACATGGCTAGCATCTAAGATATAAGTAAACACACACAATTAGTATCACCTCTAATTCTCTAACAACACAGGTTTGCACTTCAAAGTTCTAGCCTATCTAGCACGGAATGGCCCTAAATACCATTCAGATACTTTCTAACATGTCTCTAAAGGTTGCCTTTGGGTTATTTAGCCTGCAAGCTGCTTAACACTTTCTGGCCATGTGTCACACTTTGTATAAGATCCATTGCAATTATACAACAGTAGTAGCAACAATGATCTGCATCATTATATTTTAGTTAGACAGTGCCACAGTATGGAAGCCTCAAAGCTTGACAAGCAGCCAGTTTAGCAACTGTAGTAACTAAACGAGAAACTAAATATGAGAGTTCCAAAGTTGACCATAAAACCATGTGTTTGCAAATCCTTATCCTACCTATATCTATCTAAACTAAAGATTTTATACAGCCACCCATCACCATAGTATATGCACACCTGCTACGTAAAATCAATAGCAATTGCAAAATCCCTAGTGGCCTTCATAGAATCTCTGGCACTTCTCCCCTCTTGGGATCAGTTGCACCTGTATAGGCAAAACTACTTCTAATGCTTGTTTGCATGCAAACATCGGATTTATGCTGGCTGGTTTTGAAAATTTTGCCTGTGGTATTTAATATATACGCGCTGTTCTGAGCTATTCCGTTTTAAAACGAATTGACCTTTTTAAGTGTACAAGGGATAGTCTGTGTTCCTGAGTCACAAGCAGGGCCGAGAAAAGCATTAGCAAAGAAAACCCAAGAAGACTATGAATTTACTTGACACTTATTCTCCAAAGCTTCGAGAGCTTGACCACAGGGAGGCTGCTCCCATTCTCTCCCTCCCTTCTGGTTGCAGCATGGGGAGGTCCTAGACACAGCCATTCAAGCTGGTCTCAGTCAGTGACTGCCTCTCTCTGTCTATCTATGAAAGTGTTGCCTGGTGACGCTCCACAAAGTCCATTATTACATCAGCAAAGGAGATGTCAGGGATCGGTGTGTGTGCTGGCATGTGGTTGCCTTACGTTTCCCTAAGGCTTGGAGTGAAATGCATCCTCTAAAGTAAACCAAAGGAGGCTCCAGGATCGGGAACAACATTGCCTTTGTGGTGCTGTATTTGTGGATTAGTGTGTGAGTAAGCAACAAACACAAAAATTCATTGCAAAGAGACAAAACAGGTAGCTGGTGGTGTCATACTGAAGAGGGATCCCTTAGCTGCATTAGCAGTTTACTCAGTGTGAAGTTCAAATGCAGTTGCAGCGGGGCCATGCAGTCTTATTTTTATTAACTATTTACATCTTCTCTAAAAATCCTCACAGGAAGGCTGTGGGGTGTTGAAATGAGCAGGTTAAGGGGTCAGTGGCTTTGTGATCTACAGATTTCTTGCATCCCCAAGCTTCAGCTGCAAGTTTACTCCATAATTTGTACTCCATTTATTATTACTCCCATTAGCCCTCAATACGGTCAAGTCAAAAGTTAATTTAAATAATTCTTGTGGGTCATTTTGTAGGAGTGAGGCTCAGGACTGAGACTAAGAGGGAGTTGGGTTGGTGGAAACACTTTTGATATTATCAACATGGGGGGGCGTAACTAAAAAAAATGAAAAATAGGTCAATTTCAAGCCCTGCAAAATGAAATCAACGAACATTTAAAAATATTTCATGACATTTATTATTTTTGTTTTCATTTTTCAACCAGCTCTGCTGACCTGCAAGAGGGCAGGGCAGTGAGTCAAGTCAAGGTAGAGATTCCTATAGCGACAGAAACACTCTCCAGTTGCTCTCAATGGAATGGTTTATACTTGTTCTTTTGTTTTCTTTAATGTAAAATAAGTCATCTAGATTGAAAGGGCCTGATCCAAAGCTCATTGAAGCCAATCATCAAGTCCGTGGGGCCGGATGCGCTGCATCCGAGGGTGCTAAAGGAGTTGGTGGATGTGATTGCAGAGCCATTGGCCATTATCTTTGAAAACTCATGGCGATCGGGGGAGGTCCTGGATGACTGGAAAAAGGCTAATGTAGTCCCTATCTTTAAAAAAGGGAAGGAGGAGGATCCAGGGAACTACAGGCCAGTCAGCCTCACCTCAGTCCCTGGAAAAATCATGGAGCAGGTCCTCAAGGAATCAATTCTGAAGCACTTAGAGGAGAGGAAAGTGAACAGGAACAGTCAGCATGGATTCACCAAGGGCAAGTCATGCCTGACTTAATTGCCTTCTATGATGAGATAACTGGCTCTGTGGATGAGGGGAAAGCAGTGGATGTGTTATTTCTTGACTTTAGCAAGGCATTTGATAGGGTCTCCCACAGTATTCTTGCCGGCAAGTTAAAGAAGTATGGGCTGGATGAATGGACTATAAGGTGGATAGAAAGCTGGCTAGATCGCCGGGATCAACGGGTAGTGATCAATGGCTCCATGTCTAGTTGGCAGCTGGTATCAAGTGGAGTGCCCCAAAGGTCAGTCCTGGGGCCGGTTTTGTTCAATATCTTCATTAATGATCTGGAGGATGGCGTGGACTGCACCCTCAGCAAGTTTGCAGATGACACTAAACTGGGAGGAGTGGTAGATACGCTGGAGGGTAGGGATAGGATACAGAGGGACCTAGACAAATTAGAGGATTGGGCCAAAAGAAATCTGATGAGGTTCAACAAGGACAAGTGCAGAGTCCTGCACTTAGGAAGGAAGAATCCCATGCACTGCTACAGACTAGGGACCGAATGGCTAGGCAGCAGTTCTGCAGAAAAGGACCTAGGGGTTACAGTGAATGAGAAGCTGGATATGAGTCAACAGTGTGCCCTTGTTGTCAAGAAGGCTAACAGTATTTTGGGCTGTATAAGTAGGGGCATTGCCAGCAGATCGAGGGACGTGATCATTCCCCTCTATTCAGCATTGGTGAGGCCTCATCTGCAGTACTGTGTCCAGTTTTGGGCCCCACCCTACAAGAAGGACATGGAAAAATTGGAGAGAGTCCAGTGGAGGTCAACAAAAATTATTAGGGTGCTGGAGCACATGACTTATGAGGAGAGGCTGAGGGAACTGGGATTGTTTAGTCTGCAGAAGAGAAGAATGAAGGGGGATTTGATAGCTGCTTTCAGCTACCTGAAAGGGGGTTCCAAAGAGGATGGATCTAGACTGTTCTCAGTGGTACCACATGACAGAACAAGGAGTAATGGTCTCAAGTTGCAGTGGGGGAGGTTTAGGTTGGATATTAGGAAAAACGTTTTCACTAGGAGGGTGGTGAAGCACTGGAATGCGTTACCTAGGGAGGTGGTGGAATCTCCTTCCTTGGAGGTTTTTAAGGCCCGGCTTGACAAAGCCCTGGCTGGGATGATTTAGTTGGGGATTGGTCCTGCTTTGAGCAAGGGGTTGGACTAGATGACTTCCTGAGGTCCCTTCGAACCCTGATATTCTATGATTCTATGATTCAGTGGAATGGACTCCCATTGACTTCAGTTGGCTTTGGATCAGGGCCAAATGGCAGGTTTTGCTTTATGTGCATAGAAATGGTAAGAGTAAAATTGGAACAGGGGTTGGAGACTTTGTTCATTCTACTCTTTTTGATCTCTTCAGAATCAAATAATCCAAAAACTGCAGGCCAGACTGACAAATACAACTCTGTTAATTCCTGGAGCAGGTTTTCCATTTGTTTACATTTAATTCTTCCACTTAATGCACTGCAAGTAAATGCTCAGGTGGAATGGGGTTTCCTGGCTAACAATCTCTTATGTTACAGGTGAACAGGGAGCAAAAGAGGATAGTGTGCGTCTGTTTCTGACATGTCTGTGTAAGTGAACTGCATCCACTGATCTACCATGGAATATGATTTTCACAGAAAGAGGACAGTAAAATCGGTCTTACAAGCAAGCTGTTATAAAGTGTAAGTGCTGGTTACTACATCCCCCAGTCAATACACACAACAGTGGTCACTAGTTTTTATACAACTATAGTCTGTTTATTATTATATTGTTAATATTAATTAAGAGATGGGGACCAGAGAGTCCCTGCTCCAAAGAGTTTACAGTCTAAATAGACAAAGGGTGGGAGGGGATCTGAGGCACAGGGAGGGGAAATGCCTTGCTCATGGTCACACAGGCTATGTCTACACTGCAATAAAAGACCCGTGGCATGGCCACAGCTGGGGGAGGGTCTCAGAGCGCAGGCTCGAATGTCTACACTGCTATTTTTAAACCCGCAGCCTGAGCCAGCTGCGAGATTCAGTGTCATGAGTTTTGTATCGGAGTGTAGCCCTGATAGAGCTAAGACTAGAACTTAGGTTACCTGACACCCAGTATAGTGTTCTGCCCACTAGACTATTCTGCCTCTTAACAGTTCTTCAGCCTTTTAAAAGTGGATTAAGTGCTTGTGAAAAGTGCCAGATTGCTGGCACTGGGAAATAGAGTCCTCTGTCCACAGAATCAGGTGCTGAATGGATACTGGCTTCCTTAGCTCACACATACACAGCCATGTGCACCATGTACATTCTTTTGGACTTAAAATTCAAGCCAAGTGGGAAGAAAGTATGTACTGGATTGTAACTTCCTGCAGGTAAGGGGATATAAGAAATTCCAGCTTATATATTTTGTACTGATTGATAGAAAAATGTATAATGACATAAAATAAGAGGCATAAATGTAAACACAAGAGAGCAGAGTTAAGGCTGAGCTTTGAACTTCAATCTTGCATTTCCTGACCTGAGTGCCTGAGTTCTCAACCTTAAAGTTTCATTATTAGCCCTTGTCTTTAGGGTTGCTTCCCTGTTACTCAGAGTTAATTTTAGAGAGCATCTTTCGTACAAGGGAAGAAATGGGACGAATCTCACCCTTTAGATGCTTTTGCCTTTTACATGTTTTCATCGTTTCTCTTGCTAACAAATTATTTGCATGTATTAAGACGTCAATCTTCTCCTAACTGGCCCTGCAGCAAAATCCTAAGCAATGGCTGGAGTGAGCCTCCCTCACCTGCTCCTCTTCTACCAGCCTGAAATGGGATAAGGATGGAAGCTGCTGTAGCCACTTCCCTGCCTCTGCTCAGAAGCTGGTGGATTGGTGTGTGGATGAGTACACCTTCCCCCACTTACTCCTGACCTTAAAGGAAGGATGGACCAGTGGTTAGGGTACTAGCCTGTGACTCAGAAGTCTGCTCTCCTACAGACTTCCTGTGCGGACCTGGGCAAGTTACTCTGGGACCCACATCCCCAAACTGCAAAATGGGGACAATAATATTTCCTCCTCATGGGATGTTGTGAGAATAAGTATATTAAAAAATTGTGGGGCACTCAGACACTACAATAATGAAGACCTTATAAGATAGACAGACATACCTCTCCCCCTAAGCCCTACAACAGGGGTTGGCAACCTTTCAGAAGTGGTGTGCCGAGTCTTCATTTATTCACTCTAATTTAAGGTTTCGCGTGCCAGTAATACATTTTAACGTTTTTAGAAGGTCTCTTTCTATATGTCTATAATATATAACTAAACTATTGTTGTATGTAAAGTAAATAAAGTTTTTAAAATGTTTAAGAAGCTTCATTTAAAATTAAATTAAAATGCAGATACTCCCGGACCGGTGGCCAGGACCCGGGCAGTGTGAGTGCCACTGAAAATCAGCTCACGTGCCGCCTTCGGCACGCATGCCATAGGTTGCCTACCCCTGCCCTACAATGTGGGAACAAGTAAAGAGCCCACCCCCATATAGGTGAGCTGTTCTGCACATGAATGGCTCCAACCCCCTGAATCCTGCCTCCTGTATCTGATGGAAACTTAGGCTGAATGTGGGGGTCCCCAGTGGCAAAATGGGCTGTACTTTCCTTTTTGTGTTTAGGAACAAACCAACGCATGCTGGTATCATCTGCCATCATATATTTTAATAGGTCCCTGCTAGTGGGGGCCAAAAAAAGGGTGGTTTTGGAGGGAAATTTTTCATCTTCTCACTGTTCAATGAAGGAACAAAACAGGGCTAAATTACTGTCAGGAATTCTATTTAACTGTCATAAATAATACGAACTAAATTATGTCTGACTTTCTCAGATTGTGTTTTTCTATTAATCATGGCATGAATGAGGGAACAGACTGACTGATCACACTAGTTTCAAAGCCTTTCTTTCAAATTTTTATTAATTCTTCTAACCTTTTTCAAGATGCTTTTATTTTTATACAAGACTAGAGCCGCTCCCTCTGGTGGCCAAAATAACACCTCTACATAGACAAACATGGGTGTCATTTGAAATCGCTAGCCGTGCTCTAGAAAATGTTCCACAGGTGACCTGAACACTCTGTGGATTTTATGTTTTCATTGCTGTACAAGCCACTCATTCATGACATTTTTGTTGTCACAGGGCAGATGCGGCAGAACTTGCTTTGCTGACAAGGCGTTTGTGCCAGGAAATGGGACAGACAAACCTGCCTCTCCTTGAAGACATCCCTTGGTGTCACACTTTAACTCTGCGGCCAGCGGTCACTGTTGAAAGCAGGTTGATCCCATCAGTACAGAGTAAGTTTTCTGGTCTGCTTTTGTTGCCTTTTTTTTTTAATTCAGTGTGCCATTTTGAGTGGGAATTGAAACGGCAAAACCAGCTAAATTGCAAGTAATGGTCTTAGCTCCGCTTTTAAATTTAAAACAAGGGAGGCAAGTAGTCTGCACTCTGCTCAGAAAATCACGAAGAAAAAGCTACTGCACAAGACAGAGGATAAAATGTGAGTTCTAGCAGCTGTTACCCCTGCCCCCACAACATTGTAGGGTTGTTTAATAATATACATTTTGTTTCATGAACAGTGTGACCCTTTCTCCTCAAAGTCAGCATATGTCTTAAAATCTTCACTATACCTCTGTTCAACAGCAAATTGTTTAGGATCCTGATTTTCACTTGGTCAAGCACTTAACTTGGGGGGAGGGATAGCTCAGCGGTTTGAGCATTGGCCTGCTAGACCCAGGGTTGTGAGTTCAATCCTTGAGGGGGCCACTTTGGGATCTGGGTCAAAATCAGTACTTGGTTCTGCTAGTGAAGGCAGGGGGCTGGACTCAATGACCTTTCAGGGTCCCTTCCAGTTCTATGAGATAGGTATATCTCCATATATATATTAACTTCTTTCAGGGTTGAAAGGTTTTACATTTACCATTGTTATCTGTCTTCTGAAGTGCCTTCCAATCTCCTTGGTTTGGTGAATTTCAACAATAATGGTCTTTCAGACCCTTGCCACTGACTGCCTTTGCAGTCTTGAGCAAGTCACTTTACAGCTGTAAAATGAGGATAATACTTACCGGGGGGAGGGTGGGGGGCAGGGTTGGGGATTACTTAGTGTTTGGAAAGTACTAAATAATAATACCACCTAGCTCTTATATAGTGCTTTTCATCAGTAGCTCTCAAAGTGCTTTACAAAGTAGGTCAATAGCATTCTCTCCATTTTATAGATGGGGAAACTGAGGCACAGGGATAGGGAGTGACTTGCCCAGGGTTATCCAGCAGGCCAGTGGGAGAGCCAGAAATAGAATTCAGGTCTTCTGAGTCTCAGGCCAGTACACTATCCGAAGTGCTAAGACACCAGAGGGAGGGGAAATAGAGGGACGGGGTAATACCCCAAAGATTTAAATGATTACATTGATTACATTTAAAAAGGCTTGATTGACAGCCACGCCAAGCTCATGCTCAGTCCAGCTAAGGGGAGTGGAGGCCAAATCTGAGCCATCTCAATTTTGTTAGTTAAATCTTCTAAAAATAGTGTTAGAAAAATGACTTATTTTTTTCCATATCAAATTGAAACTGATCTCAGATGGAGTGTTAGCTGTGTGGATATGGCTACCCCATTTATATCCATACTTTTTAATAACCAGTCATTGCTCCTACTTGTAATGAAAATCCTCAAGAGAGCTGGTTAAAAATATCCAAATGGATAAAATAGCCAACAACATGAATGGGAGTGGCATTCTATTTTACCTGAGAGAACCCAAAATTGGGGCTTATATTAAATATAAGTTGTGCCGTAAGGAGATTTCAGTACATTTTTTTCTCTCTCTCTTCATAGCATTAGAGGCTGAAAGGATGTTTGAATCCAAAAGATTGAATAAGATTGACCTTGAAAACAAGACTGCGCAGCAAACTGAGTCTGACCTGAAGGGCAAGAGAATTGGTGCAAGAAGGCCACTTCCACCCTTCTGATGGCCTCATTCTAGGCCGAGATCTTTGAAGCCCTGGCTCCAGTCTCACTCAGGCCTCTTACTCAGTTAGAACTCCCCTCAGTGCCAACAGTGCAAATCGTGGTCTCACTTTGCGCCATTGTAACAGATTGTCGCCAGCAAAAACCGACCTTCAGAAAAATTCTGCTGTAAGGACTTCAAGAATTGGCCCGTTACTTCCAGGAATCCTCGTGACTCAACACTTACCTGCCTAGCAAGGATGAGCTGCCACATACAACTCAGTTTGTAATACACAGGAAAGCTGGATGTAGGCAATGACTAGGTCATGAATAAATTCCATCCTTGTGCCAGTCCCTTCACAACCATTTTACATTGTTTCTATTATAAAGCTCCCAGGATGAATATCCTAATGCATCATGATTGGGTTAAGTTCATGATCGACAGAAAAGATACAAGTTTATTAATCAATAATTTAAAAGGGAATTAGGTACCTAAACACCTTCGGGGATCTGGGCCTTTGTACTTTTAGGTATTTTTTCCAATTCTAGAAGAAACAATGAAGCTAACAGCCACGTTGCCAGTATTTTCTTGAGATGTAAAATGAATTGTCCATGTTTTTGTTTTTTTATTTTTGGTAACAAATTGGGTGGGGTGGGGTGGGGTGGGGGAAGAAAAATATCTTGCAAAAACATTCAGAGTCCAAAAAAAGGTTATAAAGTAGCATCTAGAACAGGGGTGGGCAAACTTTTTGGCCTGTGGTCCACATCGGGGTTCTGAAACTGTATGGAGGGCCGGGTAGGGAAGGCTGTGCCTCCCCAAACAGCCTGGCTCCTGCCCCATATCCACCGCCTCTCTCTTCCCGCCCCCTGACTGTCCCCCACAGAACCCGTGACCCATCCAACCCCCCTGCTCCTTGTCCCCTGACCGCCCCCGCCCCTAACTGCCCCCCCAGGACTCCACCCCCTATCCAACCACCCCTGCTCCCTGTCCCCTGAGTGCCCTGACCCCTATCCACACTCCCGCTCCCTGACAGCCCCTGAGGGGCTCCCATGCCTATCCAACCCCCTCCTGTTCCCTGCCTGCCCCCCCAACCTCCACCCCATCCAACTGCCTCCTGCTCCCTGTCCCGATTGCCCCCCCCCCGGGACCTCCTTCTCCTTATCCAACACCTCCACCCCCTTACCATGACGCTCAGAGCAGCAGGACTGGCAGTTGCGCCGCTGTGCTGCCCACAGGAGCTTGCAGCTCCGCCACCCAGAGCACTGGCGGCACAGCGAGCTGAGGCTGCAGGGGAGGGGGAACAGCAGGGGAGGGGCCGGGGGCTAGCCTTCCCAGCCGGGAGCTCAAGGGCCAGGCAGGATGGTCCCGCGGGCTGGATGTGGCCCTTGGGCTGTAGTTTGCCCACCTCTGATCTAGAAAATGAGATTGCATATGATGTGTTCGTAACTTACAGTTTTAGAAAAGGATTCAATTCTCAAGAGTATGTTAATTTTGATTTGGAGAAAGGCCTTAAGTATATCTTTTTGGCTTGATTCAGGAAAGCAATTCTATTCAGCACGGTACTTACATACATGTTTAAATGCCACTGAAGTCAATGGGTTAATTACTTGCTTATAGTTAAGTAGGTATGCAAGTGCTTTCCTGAATTGGGTCTCTCTGAGGTTTGCAATAATTCCATGAAATCTTATTTTTTCACTGCTTAACGGGACACTGCCAAGATTAAAAAAAAAAAAGACCAAATTCTGTTCTTAGTTAAATCAGTGTCGAATCAGAGTAACTCCATTGACTTAACATGACTGTAAAAGCAGCACTTTGCGATTAAAATGATTTGTTCTTTGGGCCAAATTCTGCTGTCACAGTCTACATCTAGAATAACTTCATTAGTTACTATGATTTGACATTGTTGAATTGAGGGAGAATTTGACTCAGGGAGCGGGGTCAGCTGAATAGGAAGGTGCCATTTTTAGAGCCCCCTAATCCGAGTTTAATTTAAGACAGATTTCTATTCATATGAGTTTCTGTGTGTCCTGTTTAAAAAAATAAGCAAGCCCAAATGTTGGGTCTAACCTAAAAGTGACAGTGTAGTCAATTGTAATCAAATTCTCTCAGATATTGGGGTAATTATTAAACAGAACTTCTCTCATGTTTCTTAGTTTTCCTCTCAAAATTTCACTAAGAAAGCCATCTAAGCTTACGAAAATCAATAGGACTCTATCTATTGACTTCAGTGAGTTTTGGATCAAGCCCTAAAGACCTACTGTGGTCCCTAAATTCCATCTTCAGACATGCAGCAGCACCATAGTGGTAGAGAGAGTAGGATGCTTTGTTCCTTTGGTTTGGGGTTTTTATTCCCCTTCTGCCAGGTGCTCTAAGCTGTAACCTCAGTTGATGGGAGGAGTCCCCTTGTATGACTCATCTTCACGGGGAGGCAAGCCGAGCAATAAGAGTGTTTAGTCCTTTTGTTGATGTTTTATCCATCCAGATGTAGGAAGTTTCCAGTGGTAAGATCCAGCCCTACCCCATCTCCTTCAGGAGGGGCGTAACTGTTTCTGTAGGAGAGCAGCTCCTCACACTAATTACACTCCTTTCCTGTATCGTGAATAAACTGCGCAGCAAGCAGCCTTTTAAAGCTTTTTTTAAAGTAGGTTGCGCAACCAGGAGCCAATCACGCTCAGTGGTGGGAAATTAAAAAAAACAACAACACAAAAAACAAACAAACAAGCAGAAACCCATTCCCCATGGGCAGGGCCGGCTCTAACTTTTTTGCCGCCCCAAGCAAAAAAAAAAAAAAGCACCGTAACAACCGTTGTTTGCCATAACAACCCCACCCGAGCGCCGCCCTGCCCCGCCCCACCGAAACAACCTCCACCCCTGAGCACCGCCCCGCCCCGCCGAAACAACCTCCCCCCCGAGCGCTGCCCTGTCCCGCCGAAACAACCCCCCCGAGTGCCGCGCCACCGAAACAAACAAAAAAACCCTTGAGCGCTGCCCTGCCGAACCAAAAAAAACCCACACCAAACCCCGAGCGCCGCCCCGCCACCCGAAGATTGGCCGCCCCTTTACAAGGTGCCGCCCCAAGCACATGCTTTGTCGGCTGGTGCCTGGAGCCGGCCCTGCACCTGGGCAAGCCCCAGAACAAGCAACAGGCTACTTAAAGAAATTAATAGGCAATTACTACACAAAGAAGCCTGATTAGGCTTGCTGGGTGCCATCTTGGCAGCCTTCACGTCAATACCATCATTTTATTTCCTAAAGAGCCCCAAATGCCGCATCCACTGGTTAAGTCAAAACAGTAACTAGCATTTTTACTGACTATATTCATTTGCTTTACATTAACTACACTACTCATTGACAACTCCATTCCTGAAATATATTAAGTCTTCATTTTTGATTCCTTTCAGAATGGTGCATTGTTCCACAATATGACCTAACTGTTCAATCTCTCATCCCTTTCTCATGATCTATCCTGAATTGTTCCATCACACGTGTAGACCTGGCTTCACATAAGTAACTTGCCTAATTTCTTAGTGGGCATAATTGGGAAGGTGAATGGAAGGTTAAGTTGCAAATAGGGGCTTGACAAACAGTATGTTGGAGTCAGGATGTCTGTGCTAGCTAAGATAAGCACCGACACCTTGATGCTAGGGACTATGGCCAAGATAAAACTGGAATGTAAAGATCAGGTTCCACGGGAACAGCACATGGACAGAGCATGCTGCACAGGGATTGGTTCCTGCAAAGTAAGAAAGCCACTCCAAAAATATGTGGTGTAATGTATAGCAAATACAATGTAATGTGTAAATGTGTATAAAGGAAGAGGTTGTCTGTAATTCTGAATGTGTGGTATGCCTGGGCTATACCCATCCCCTCTGCTTGAGTCTGATCAACTCAGTGTAGCTTTGCTGTCTGACAAATAAAGGACCTTGCATGATGAAATCCAGAGTCAAACTGAGTGTTTCGGATCCCAGAGAAGAGAACTGGATGGCGTGTTCTCCCAGAACTGGACAAGGTGTTCTGGATAAGCCAAATGGAAAAGGTCTCGGAGGGAATCCCAACAACACTACACTGCAGCTTAAGCAATGTATTTCCTCAGCTGTCATGGTTCACTGGATACTGGATATGCCACGTATGATTTCTGTAACAAGGCTGATCGTTCTATTGATGAGACAAGAAAAAAAGCTCTAATTATTTTTAAGCTGGGCTGTTGCTATGTCAATTAAAATGCCCAGAGTCTCAGTTTTGGGATACAAGATCTCTGCAGGCTGATAATTTGGGAATGAAAGATTGCATATTCACAGGTCTCTGAGCCCAGCTTTTACCTTGAAATGTGAGATGCAACGCAACTGCTACTTAGTACACCTTATCACAGAGTACACAGAGTACTGTTCCATACTGAATATATGTTGTTGTTTTACACCTCCAACAACTAAACACACATTAGCTTTGGGCAGGGGAAGAAATGGAAAGTAAGATCAAAGGTATATGCCCATTTGATTTGAAACATAAGGTGCTCAGATAGCACAGTGAAGATTGCAGTGTAAGGGCAGACAAACAGACATCTCGTGGACATAAAACACACCTACATACATTTAAAAGTGTATTTTTATTTACACAGTGGAAATGCCTAATCAGTTATAAGTTTAGGCACCTGATAATTCAGCTTTTTTTTGTAAAAGTATATAAATATATACATGAAACTCTTATGAAGTAAACATTATAAACTGTGATACTTACAGTAAACATTCACTACTCTTTTCTAAGCTAATAGGTGTAAAGTTTGTAAAGCTTAAATACTGATTTCAAGTATTCCCTATAAAATCGCTCTACTATATCAAAATGCTGAAAAAGTGAGATCTGCTATAAACAAGCTTTTAAAATAGACTAATAAAATGTCCCTGTAAGAAAATCCACCAGGATAAAATACTGCCTTATTTTCCCACCCTCCTCCCACTGCAGCAGAAACAAATACTAAAAAATAGTTGCATACCCACAGAAGGCATTATTACAATTTTTAATTAAAAC